CTAGCAAACTAAAGATCATATTACATCCACTGCACACATAATCTGAAATAACAACTCATATTTCTCGCATCAAATGACATCAAAACGCATTTTAATGGCCAAACTAACTTTAAAATAAGCATTTTCCACCGAGAATAAAACGAAGTTCGGCCATGTTTTGTTTTTTTGCAGGGAGAAATTTGAAGAACACGTGACATAGACGCCAGCCATTGGAATAGAGAGGCGAAGTCCCTAGGCTTGTTTGAGACAAGCGAGACCTGCGCAGACCTGCGCAATTGCGATCAACATCTTGCTAGCGCGTTGCATGATGGTTAGTCATTTTGTCCGACTTGCTCTGGAGGCTCGCCTACATGAGACGTTGAAATCTCGCGGGACAAAGACGCCTTAAGAGCGAGGCGCGGCGAGTCGGCGCAGTTCCTCTCCACGGGCTGCGGAAGCTAAATGCTTGATGGGAAACGACTCGCTGGTATCTCGAGCTGAGCGCTCATTGGTGGTTTTTACCACGTGCTGCTGATGAAACTCTCCAATTGGCTCGGCAAAAGTTTGTTGTTGTTTTGTGTCAGTTTATACGGTGGCCGGCAGGTGCAAACACGGAACAACGGCCCAAAACGCATACATAAGCAGGAAACACCTGCAAATAATGAAATGAAAAACAAACAAACCCTGAAAACAAATACAACAGAAAAACGCTGCATTTACAGAAATTATGCAAACTAAATACAACACACAAACCCCGAAAACAAACGCAAAGTCCAAAGCACGTACAAATCCCAAAACACATACAAAAAAAACATTCCGGAAGTGCTCCAGGCCTCTAGGGGGCGCGCTACGTGGAACAGATTGATGTCTGACCAGACATAGAGAGAACGAACAAGAGTGATGGAAATCGAGAGGAAAGAAAGTTCATTTAAGTGGAGAAAGATATAAGAAGGTAAGTTTTGTTTTTATTAGTGCTGTCAAAATTATCGCGTTAACGGCGGTAATTAATTTTTTGAATTAATTGCGTTAAAATATTAACGCATGTGCAGAATGGCCCGCCCCATACGTGCCACCAGTGGCAGCGCCAGGGTATGGCTGGGGTAGGCTACACCCATACCAAGAAATGGCTTAGCCCTACCATGAAAACTGATGTTAAAGTAAACAAAATAAAGTCTGCCAACTCGCGCAGAGTAAATTGCACAGACAGCAGTTAGTAAGATTGATTTCAGTAGCCACGGTTTTGAAAACTTTGTCACGTAGTGATCGTCTTCTCAATAGAACATCTTTGATAACGGCGTGGTGTTGTTGCAGGAAGTCCCGACGGAGAATACTTTTGCTGTAGTACAGGGGTGCACATAACTGGTACGCAGGTTATGTGCGTAATCTGACATGCGTACCGTCACTTGTGTCACAAAGCGCATTTGCGTACCGACGTACTTGTGAGGCTTTTCCAGAAGGCGGTTAGATCACCGGACGACAGAGTCGGTCTCCGTGTGCACAGACAGGGCTGCTGTTAACGTCGGTCTGTACAACGGAATTGTGCCAAAACTACGCCAACCGGCTGAGGAGGGAGACTCCCCCCTTCACTGGAGAACTGCGCTAAAACAGCTGATCACAACGTTCACACTCTGTGGTCAAGAAGTACTCCACGAGCCGCCGCCCCCCCCCCCTCTGTCGACTTTCCTGAAGTACTCCCCCGTTGATAGAAATCAACACGTAATGAATTAAGACCCCACGGTTTGAAGATTGATAGGTGTGTGGGTTGTCTTTCATTTTTGACACGCAGAAAATGTTATAATAAACATAGATACTGTATGTTAAATTAATATATCCGCCTTCTTTCCATTCCCACAACAATATAGGCCTACATAAATAAATGGCATATTTTGGAAAATAGTTCGAATGGTGATTAATCATGATTAATTAATTTTTAAACTGTGATTAATCTGATTAACATTTTTAATCGTTTGACAGCCCTAGTTTTTATAGCGTCATATTTATATCGCCTAGCTAGCGTTAGCGTGCCTAGCTACTACACCAGCTGAGGGAGGAGAGCTTCACGTGAAGAGAAGATAAAGTGAGTGAAGAAAATTGTTAAAAGAGATGACAAATCAAGTGCAGGCAAATAACACGGGCCATAGAGAGTACCGCGGAAAAAGGACATTTGAATTCTTAGCAGTTTTTTTATATATATTTGTGTATAGATGTTGCAACTATACAGAGCTTTAGCAATTACCTGTAACTATGGTCATAATAAAGCTATTGAATTGAGAGAGAGAGAGAGATGTGACAACATGTGAAGAGGGACAAAGTAATGACAGGAGAGTAGTGTGCATTAGACATGCTCAAGAACAAATATAGAGAAGACATTCAAGGAGAGAGAGACAAAACACAGATTCAACGGTAAACATTATGTATCTTTCTATTTATTTAGCTAACCACTATTTAGACTATGTGTTTTTGATTAACTTGATTAAGTGGATTTACTACATCAATGTATGTCTTTTCAGGCCGCCATGTTGTGTCCTTTCTGTGGCCAGCATCTGGGGACAGTTCAAGTGTTCTGTGGCTCCTGTGGCAAACATGTACAGTTTTTGGCAGAAGTTGAACACAACAGTAAGTTCACTTTTTTTATTGTATCTGTTTCAAATGCAAGAAATAAGGATTCAACACACTACTCTGTTTAGAATACTAATAGGCTACATGCACTAGGGGTTGAAAGAAACAGACTAAGAAATGACGTAAGCTCCATGATCAAAACTGCCAAAAAGAATTTCATCAATGTCAAAACTGAGGAAAACAAAAATAAACCCTGTGAACTTTGGAAATTACTCAATAACCAGCTTGGCTGCAGTAAAAAACTCAAAACGAGATTTTCTAACTTAAACATAAAGACAGATAACAGGCTCATCACAGACAAACTGGATGTGGCCAAGTACTTGAACATTTTTTTCACAAACATAGCCACAACTTTTGTAAATAAATTACCCTCCCACTCAGGGCTTTTGGAGTAGATCACATCATGACCTACTACAAAAACCTAGGGGTACGCAAAGATGATTTCAGTCTTGCAAGGGTAACAACAGCAGAGGTACTCATTAAAACTGAGCGCCCTCCAACCTAACAAGGCCACTGGCCACGACAATATCCCCTCCAAATTCCTCAGAGACACAGCAACCGCCATCTCACCAGTCATAGCTCACATAATTAACCTCTCCATAAAACAGGGAAAAGTACCCAAAGACTTCAAAATTGCAAGAGTAACCCCCCTGCACAAAAAGGGCAGCAAATTGGACCCAGGCAACTACCGCCCTGTTTCTATACTTACCTCCATCTCGAAAGTCATGGAAAAAATAATATATGAACAGGTCGAAAAGAAACTAATCTATGAATTTCAATCTGGCTTTAGAACATCCCACTCCACTGACACATGCCTTCTTTATTTGAGCGACCACATCAAACAAGAGGTGGACGAGGGCAAGTACTGCGGCATGGTGATGCTGGACCTACAAAAGGCTTTCGACACTGTCAATCACCCCATTCTGATTGACAAGCTAAAAGCAATTGGTTTTGATAAACTATCGGTGAGCTGGATGCAATCCTACCTGGAGGGGAGAGAACAGATGGTGGAGGTAAACGGTACTCTGTCCCCCCCCCTCCCAGTGAGCTGTGGTGTTCCACAAGGAAGCATATTAGGTCCGTTACTGTTCCTAATTTATGTAAATGACATGTCATCAGCATGTGACTGCAACTTGTTCCTGTTCGCGGACGACTCAGCCCTGCTGGTCTCTGACAGGAACAGGTTGCAGGTTGAAAAAACCCTCAACTCCGAGCTCGGCAGATTCTGCACCTGGCTCGCCGATAATAAATTATCATTACACCTGGGTAAAACAGAGTCCATTCTCTTCGGTTCGAAACATAATCTCAGCAAATCCGACGACTTCTCAGTTGCAGTGGGCGACATTATTGTCACAAGTAAGAAGCAAATTACATACCTAGGATCTATTCTTGAGGCAAACCTCTCCTGTGACAAAATGGCATCCAATGTAATAAAAAAAGTCAATCAAAGAACTAGATTCCTATACCGGATCTCCTCTCTGGTAACAAAAACACCCTGAAAACTCTGGCAGGAGCACTCATTCAAGGGTACTATGACTATGCTTGCACGTCATGGTACCATAGCACCTCCAAGGCGCTAAAAATAAAACTTCAAACATCGCAAAATAAACTGGTCAGACTACTGCTTGACCTTTCATCTAGAACCCACCTCACCTCTGCCCACTTTGACAACCTAGGATGGCTTAGAGTAGACGACAGAGTACAGCTACTTGCAATGGCCTGGTCTACAAGATCCACTACACCTCTATGGTACCCATGTACATGTCAAAATTCTTCCCAAAGATCAAGGAATACCATGATCATAACACCAGAGGGAGCTCCACAAATCATGTGAAACCCAGATTTGGCACAAAAAAGGGGGAATACACGTTTCGCAATTATGCCACATCAAGGTGGAACGCTCTTCCCACAACTGTAAAGGAAAGTAAAACTATACTTACCTTCAAAACCTCTCTTAAAGAGCACCTTCGGGGGAGAGCATTGCAAAACTGGCCCCGGTAATGGTACAAATCTCAACCTGTCGTTCAATGGACAGCTCCCCCCCCCCCCCATCTATGTATATACGCGCATTTTAGACTCTGTTACTAACTGTATATCTGTAGACTTGGTAAATGTCCGGTTAGGATGTATTAGAACGAAATCTAAAATGAAAATTGTAAACAAGCAATCTGTATGTAAAAAAAAACACCTGTATGTAAATTGTAAATAAGCCATCTGTATGTCAAATATGTCTTATATGTCTTAAATGACATGATGAATTGGAAATGGGGGACCCTGATGTAAACAAGACGAAAGTCTTTCTCTGGTCTGCATCCCCTTAACAATTGTATGTTTTGAGCTGTACTGTACTGTACCCAATATACAAGCTGTTAATAAACTTTTCAATCAATCAATCAATCAAGTCTGAGACGTACTTCCGCCTTAGCCGTTATACTGCTCGGACGCTTCCGGGTTGCTTCTGGTCTGCGTAGCTGAGCGTCCACAAATGTTTTACTGTTTAAATCTGTGGTTTAAATATGAGTCGACGGAAGATTTTCAAAACGGAGCATTTGCAAAGACAAGTAAAAAACTACTCCGAGCACTGCTGTGTCCCACTTTGTACGGCGTCAGCTAAATTCAACGGCGTCCTAAGTTTCCATGGCTTTCCGACCGAACTCGAGCTGCGAAGACAGTGGCTGGTTAAAATACGACGCGATAACTTTACAATCTCCTCTCACTCCAAGGTCTGCAGTCGTCACTTCGCTACGGATCAACTAATAGAGCCAAAAACCCTTGATGGCCGTAGGAGGCTTGTGAAAGGTGCTGTCCCAACTCTGTTTGAGTGGAATCACTTCACTGCTCAAACACCGCGGGCTAGTGTTTGGGAGAGAAGGGAGCGGCCCACTGAACCAGTCTCTCGGGAGGAGCAGGAAGAGCACATCGATGTCCGTGACCATGATTACTGCTCAACCCCTGAACCAGCTTCACTGGACATGTCCTCTCAAGCTACAGAAGACAACTCCAAAACAGTGGAGGATCTGCAGAAGCAACTGCAGGAGTTAAGAGTCCAGCGAGAGTTTTGCTTACAGCGGTTTGCTGGCTCCGACGACAACATCCGATTATATACCAGGTAATGTTTTGGCTAAATTCTATCCAAGTTTTTGAGATGGGTTAGCTTATAAAGAATCCTGTTTACCTGCCGTTTGACTGCTGACTATTTGCATGCAGTGTTGGAATAAGTAGGCTACTCAACTTAACTGAAGTATAAGTACAAATACTATGGTTTGAAAATACTCCTGAACTGAACATGTAGAATCATAAATCATGTGTTTTCATAAGTAACTAGAAACTATGAAGGTTAACTAAATGTGGTGGAGTAAAACATACTAATACTAACAACATACTGATAATACTTTACTACAAGTGGAAATCTTCAAAACCTTACCAAAGTAAAAGTACATGTCAATATCCACTGCGTTTCTCCCAGTTGCACACTTAAGAATGAAGAGTAAAAGTAGTCATTCTGTGTAAAATGTTCCCTGTATGTTTTAGATTATTATTACTGCTGCTTTAATGTAGTTGTTACATGTTACTGCTGTATATTACTATACCTGCACCAAGTGCCTTCTTAATCAGTCTATTTGAATTGTAATGTATTATAGCAAACAAGAGGAAAGCATTAGCCCATGTGTTACAGTTAACGAGTCAATTAATGACTGACATGTGTCTTTTGTGTACAGATTCCCGAGCTATAACCACCTGATGGCCTTCTGGTTTTTGATTGAGCCTTCCATTTATAAAATGGTTCATGTTACAAGAGCGATATCAGCTGCCAAGAGGAATGAAGAAGTGGTTACACACGCACGTCCATCAACGGTAGGCTACGTTTCTTTTAACACACAATCTAAACACAAACTGAAGGGAAAATGTTTCTCCGACATTTCATTGCTTTCGTGTAGGCTAAAAGGCTATAGTACTCAATCCTTTTTGAATACATCAGAGAATTAAAACAACTTAATGTTTTTCCCATGGTGTGCTACACTCATGACATTAATATAGTACCCTTTTTTTGTTTATCTTCCAGAGACAGCTGCTTCAGCCAATTGACGAGTTCTTCCTTTTTCTCTGCTTCCTGTCGGTGGGTTTGAAAGAGAGGGACCTTGCAAACCGCTTCAACGTACACCAGTCCACTGTGAGCCGCATCATTGCAACATGGACGAGTTTTCTTACAACTTTATTGGGGTCACAGTGCATCTGGCTTACACCTGCAGAAGTTCAAGCCCACCTCCCAGAGGCATTCAAAGATTTCCCAGACACACAGCTAGGTGATCCTGGATTGCACAGAGCTGAGGTGTCAAACACCATCCTCACTCCTCCTCCAAAGTGAAATGTATTCTACATACAAATCTCACTACACCATGAAAGCCCTGGTTGGCATAGCCCCACATGGCGCAGTGACATTTGTTTCCAGTCTGTATGGTGGTTCTGTCAGCGACAAGGAGATTTTCAAACAATCTGGAATAGCTGCGTTGTTGACTGAAAACATGGCAGTGATGGTAGATAAGGGCTTCCTGATCAGCGATTGCTGCAAATGCAAGGTGTACTGCCCACCTTTTCTGTCAAAGCAGAAGCAAATGCCAGCCTATCAGGTGAGGGAGACACAGGCCATTGCCAGACTGAGGTTCATGTGGAGCGTGTCATTAGGAGGATAAACGAGAACAAACTTTTGATGGTGTCATCCTCCTGTCCCATGCCTACAACATCAACCAACTGTTTGCAGTAGCATGTATGCTGTCAAACTATCAGAACAAAGCACTGGTCAAGAAATGGGTGAAATAAGACAAGATGATGACACCTGTGCAGGTAGCTGTGATTAAGCTGGGTGAGCACGCCGTAATCCCGTGTTGCCTGACACACGCTAGTGTTTTGTTTGAATAAATGGTAAATAGCAAATTACAATGCGTTGATGATTTCTTACAAATGCAATGATTTACTATTCATTACACAAATCACTTCACTTTATTGTCTTTTTAAATACAATTGTATATTTATTTACATATATGAAATGTGACAAACAATATATATCAAACAAAATATTGAAATCACATTTTGTTGTCATTCAGAACACATGATTGAGGGATTGCCTCCTAAAAACAATGATGGCTGATCCAGGGTCTAGCAGCTAACTGCTTACAGAGTTAACAATGGCTACAGTGCCCACTACTTTTTTAATGACAGGTACTTCGGCATGTATGTGTAAAAAAAAAAAAGTCTACTTTTTCTCTGATTGCTCTTTGCACTTCTGGATCTGTGTATATTCTTTGCACCAGGTAGTCCTCTTGTGCCCACACTACAAAATCACACCACTGCATCCCAGATACAAGAAGTTGACCCTGTACTTGCCAGTAATAGGCATGGCTTTTCTTGAGCTTAGGGGAGCCACATTCTATCTGCACATATTTGCAGTCGACATAATTTGGGACATTGGGACATTTGAATTCAACAAGGCCAAATTGGGGATATTCTGTTGGGTCAAAAACAACTCCATCAGGGAGGCACCAAGCCAGGGCGTAGAGGGGTGAATGACAAGGCCACAAGGGGAGTAGTTCACGTTTGCCAGTCTACTGTATTCAGCTGCTACTGTGGGCTCCATCTCGGCACCTCTCCTCATTTCTGCAGTCTGCCTTGTACCTTTGAGTATTCGCTCTGCAAGAGAGTTAGCAGAGCTCTCACCTCTGACGTGACAAATCTCTCTAAACCTAGAGGCAGTAACCCTGGGTTTGCGGAGCAGATGCCACTCTGAGCTAGAGCTTTGCTCACGGGTAGCCTCCTCAATTTTGTGAGACATTTCCAAATCAACAGATAAGCTGTTCATATGTAGTTGCTCCTCTTCTGAGCACACCAGCGGTAAATCACATGGCAAGATCACATACCCCTCTATGGGCAAGTGGGGTGTTGGTGGTGTGTCAGTGTGAAGTGTGGTGTACCGAGACGTCAAAGCAGGCATCTGATAGGACAGAACACTGCCCTCCTGCACAATCCCGAAGGCACTTTCCACAAGGGGCTTGTCAGGTCTCATGTTCATTGTGGTCACAAGCGGCCTGTCTTCAATGCTGAATGCTGAGTATGCCTCCGTAACTCTGAACAGGCAGGGATCTGGTAATGGCCCCACCATGCCTCTGTAGAATCCACTCCTACAAAGAATGGCAAAGACAATATAGCACATTAATGTGACAATAAAGGTTAGGAATACAGCACCAGAATTATGAATTTTTAAAAATACAGGAAACACAATTTTCCAGCTAAAATTACCTTACTCCAGTCTGCACCATCCTATTTGGTACAGGCTTGGTGAAGACCATGGAGTTGATGGGCCCTGGCTTCACACCCTTAAGGAAAATACAATTACTGTTCGTTGAGTCACTTTAAAACAAAAACTCTGTGAAAGATTACAAGTATTTGAACCTCATTGAAATTACCATTGTTCGCGGCTTGTGCCATTGCTGTTCCGATTCAGTACAGCTATGCACAGGTGGCACAACTGGCATGTTCAGTTCAGTGTAGTGTGCTGTTTAGAACAGCAATGCTACTGTGTGATTGCACAAAACAGTTCCTGCAACACAGGAGCACTGGTTGTGCGTGAGCACCACTGGTGATGAATCACGAAGCGTTATCTAAAAAAGAGAGAAGAAATACTAGTGATTAGTAACCTCACTTGTTACTATGAGCCAGGAGGTTATTATGAGTAGAATTATTGGTTATTTTTACTGACCCATTATCCTAGAAGAAGCATGTATTCCTGAATGCTTAGTGTTACCCTCTTACCCTACAATACCACAATGAACTTTCTTTGGAAACTAAGATATTGAAAATTGTATTAAAGCAGTTTTGACTATATATTTTAACCCCCAAACTTACACATCCATAATCAATGTAATAATATCTGACCAATCAGCTGTGATAAAGCAGGGAGAAGTAGGACACTGTTGAGATTCCCTTAAGGTAAACTAATGTTTAACTGAACTGAAACTCAATAAACAGGGGGGAACAGTGTCAATGCTGCCTGCCTACACTCAAACTGTGTGCTGTCTCGCTCTTCCGCATTGACCTGTAGCACAAGGCTCTCACGCTGACCTGCCCTGTCAGCCTGTCTTTATTGGACACTGAATGAAGAAAAACAGAGCAACAGCGTTAGATCTATACTCACGTCAAAACATCTATGGCAACATTGCTTTACAAAAGCTGATACCATTATGCAGTGTGGCTAACAACAAGACAACCTTGGCTAGGCTATAAGGCTATTAAACGATAGTATTTGTTAGCAAAATGGCTAATGTTTTAAATAATGAACACCAGAAACAGTACATAGCGTTACCCAGAGCCCTATAGTAGTCTACTATAGTAGTAGTATAATAATAATAATAATAATAATAATAATAATAATAATAGTAGTTATACTATAGGGCTCTGGCGTTACCTAGCTTTTGACAGCTAATGTTAGCGTAACCCGGAGCATAAACTAGCTGGTTAGTACCGGTTACCTTCTTACCTTCATAGTTGTGTATATATGACGCAGCATATAATTTGAAGCCTTTATCGAGTTTGCTGCCTGGGGCTTTAGTCGTCCGGCAAATCCGATGAACATCTGACATTTTTAATTTCGGAAGCTCTTGTAGGCAGCGGGTGTAGAAGGTCGTTATTTTCAAACAGGAAATGAATCGGCCGCTATGAGTAGAATGCGGAAGTGACTGTGCATGTAGCCTATTGGCAGATGCACACACTAGTTATCAGCATGAAGGACACATTTTTTCATTGTCTGTTTGTGAAATATGTAGAAGCCATCATTAAATTGTAGACCAATGCATGATTAAATACACAAAACAGCTTATATTATACATTCATAATTGTGTATTAGTTCTATTTTATAGAGAACAATATACATTTAGAATCAGATTTTGAGACAGTGAGCGGCTGGGAAAGTCACACCGTCATGGGGCACAAACAGTTGCTGACGTGATGTTTTCTTCATTCTCAGGCATTCCATAAGGAGGGTCAGGAACTCATGCTTGGGACCACCAGTGTCCCCTCCATCCTCAGTTTGTCCCTCATCATCAGTGAACTTAACTGACATCTCATAAGAGGGATCGAATGAGGCACCTTTGAAGCCGCGGATTGCTCCATCCCACACATTGGCTCTGTTAATATTGAACCTGCTGCAAGATGTATTTGTTATTTTTGCAGAGAGTTCTGCAACAATGTCTTCCGCAGTCAGGTATTCTGTGCTGGGAAAGACAAAGTGATGTATTGTAATATTAAATGATGAAACTATAATAAGATTTACAGAATAGAATAGAAAAATTAAGTGGTAATAGTAACAATTAATACATTTCCTCCATTGTGTCTTCTGGCTCAGACTGGCTATCAATAATGATAAGTGCATACACAGTTGTGTAGTGAGAAGACAGTTGAATAATTATTTTCAAATACATAATATATGCATGACAGTCATATTTACAAAAGGATGTCGATCCTCTTCCTGTTTTTTCAATACATTGGGTTCTAAACTGACAACAGCACTTTTGTCATACTCCTGCACAATCCTTGTAAACATTTGAAATGGATGCAACAAAAAATATCTGATCTTTGAAAAATATTTGTGGGTGTTTTTTGGAAATGTATGAAAGTATAATTGTTCTGCTTCCTGGCAATGTTACCCACTGTGATTGGAGGCTATACAAACAAACAAATGTAAAATAAAGATACACAGCAAACAACTGTCACGATGCAACTGTCAACATGGTTTACCTATAGAAGTGGTTCTGACCCGGGCAGACTGGACCTCTTCCTGGAATGGGGTTGGTGCTCCATCCTATTTTTACCCAGGAAATAAGTGCACACAAAGGTATTTATTGATTTCATGATCACAAATTCAAACCTACATGGTATAATTACATGTTTAATTAGTCTTATCCGATCAGCGCTGGTTGTAGGTGCCTGAGAGGTCTGATAAAGGTAAACAACAAATATATTCAAACTACTGTACTGTTAAAACATTCTGCTTCTTGTGGCACAAAATAATATGTTGACAATGTTTTATTTTACCCTGCAAACTGTTCCATTCGTGGAGTGCTCACTTTGTGAACATTTGGAATGTCTCACCTGCATACACACAAATGACACTGACTGAAATAAAATAAATTCACTTTAATTAAGAATAAATGCCACTATAAATCCAAACTGACCAAGGTACATTATATTGTTGACCGTCCTTTAACTCTCACATTAGGATTTACATTGGGGCACAATAAACCAACTCCTCTCTGCACCTATAATATATCTATCTATATGATGTCAAGAGTTACATTTAGGTGCACAGACAGTGCTGTCTCTTCACTTGCAAGCTCTTTTACCAAACAAGCTAACGCTAGCTGGGTAAATATGACGCTCTTTGTATCAAAACAAAACTTACCTTTTTATATATCGTCTTTTTCCACTTCGATCAACTTCGTTTCCTCCGGCTTCAATTTGCCGCACTCTTATTCGTTCCCTCTATGGCTGCTTCTCATGTCGACTATTTTCATTTCCTCGCTCCTCGGTCCTCGGTCTCAACGGAAGTTGATTTGCCTGCGCCATCTTGAGTACCGTCCCATGGCTCTTATTTCTGCCGGAGGATCGAGGAGCGATAATCGAGGAACCACCAGACCATCCTCCGATGAAATCCTCAGATACTCGCCCCGCCCCCTTACTGTGTATCGCTCACTGATTGGACGATGCAGTGCATGCACTGATCTCATGCTTCTTGACATGAGAGCAGAGTGAAGAAAATACATGAACCTCACGGGAGTCACTCCTCAGTTTATACCGTGTTTTGTTTCAATTCATGTTTCATTTAGTTACAAATATGTGATATATCTGAACAACAAAGTGGTCAAAAATCATTTTATTCATTTGTTGGAAACATTTTCATGATCGCTTTTTTCGTTTTACATTTTCATTTATTGTCATTTCCATTCAGTCAGTCATTAAGTGCTATTAAAATGTTAATGTGCTACATATCCAAACAAACAAACAAACAAAGTGTGCAATCCAATGAATGTTAATCTAACTGGGTTTTGATAGATAACATATCTCTTTTTCTTCTCTCAATTATTTTATTTCTTTTGTGCACTCTAATCAATATTAATCAAACTATTGTTCGTTTATACATTTTAAGAATGGCGTTTATCTTTTTTGAGAATGAGTTCTTATTTTTATTTTATTTATTGGGATCTACAACAGATGATACAAATGTTTGTGTCAGTAAATGTGTACTAACAGAGGCGGGGGTGTGTGTGGAAATAACGGGGACAGAGCTGGCTGCTGTCAGACGATCAGCTGTGTAGCGTCATCACAAACGGACGTCGCTTCACGTGACGCTCCGGAGGAAAGGACGTCCCATTGCTCTTAAAACTCATTTCCCTGCTTCTCGTGGTTTCCTTGCGTCCCTCCATGCTTCACTGGTGGGAGGGACTAAACGCAGGGAAACGACGCAAGTGAGGGAAGCAAGGATTTCATTTAATCGACCTGAGAAGCAGCCTTTGTCTGGTCAGACATCAATCTGTTCCACGTAGCGCGCCCCCTAGAGGCCTGGAGCACTTCCGGAATGTTTTTTTTGTATGTGTTTTGGGATTTGTACGTGCTTTGGACTTTGCATGTCGTTTTGGTATTTGCAGCGTTTTTTTGTTGCGTTTGTTTTCGGGGTTTGTGCGTTGTATTTAGTTTGCATCATTTCTGTAAATGCAGCGTTTTTTGGTTGTATTTTTTTTCAGGATTTATTTGTTTTTCATTTCAGGATTTGCAGCTGTTTCCTGCTAATGTATTTGGTTTTGGCCGTTGTTCCGCGTTTGCACCTGCCGGCCACCGTAGTTTTACGTCGCCACATCCATTCCCATTTTTCATCATCGTTCCACAATGTTTATCATCATGAAATTAATATCTATATATTTTATACTATACTTGCACTGCTTACCGTTTTCATACTTTATATATCTTAGCAACACATCCTCACTCCCTGGTTGGCCTATGTTGACGTTATGTCAAGTCCCCTGTCGGCTTTTTCAAACGCAAGGGGGGGGGGCCTTAGCGTCCATTTTCAACGCAAGGGGGGGGCCCTTAGCGTCCATTTTCAGCTTTCCGGGATGTCCATATGCTTCTATGGACGCTCATGGAAGCACGGCATTCGTTTGTGTCGGCTGCCCTTAAAGGCAATGTGAGCGTCCATTCTCATTGGATAACGGAGAATTGTACACCCGGAAGTAAGTATTCCCCTTACTGTCGATTGATTTTACAGTGATATCTGCACTACTCATCGACTAAAAAACACCAGATTATCCTTGTTAATTACACAACATTGATTGGTTTAAATTGTGTGCAATGCTTTTGTATTTTTCCCCTTCGATTCGGAGAAACAAATATGTTTTCGGAGTAAAGGATGGCAGAAGACACTACACTACCCAGAATCCCCAGCTATCATTTGGACTACACCATGTGCTCTGTTTGACGTCACGTGATCTTCAAATTTCTCCCTGCAGAAAAAAAAAACATGGCCGAACTTCGTTTTATTCTCGATGGAAAATGCCTATTTTAAAGTTAGTTTGGCCATTAAAATGCGTTTTGATGTCATTTGATGCGAGAAATATGAGTTGTTATTTCAGATTATGTGTGCAGTGGATGTACATGATCTTTAGTTTGCTAGTTATTACGAAGATTACTTCAGGAAATTAAGTCCATAACGTTTTCATTGTTACCAAGGTGGTTGCTAGGGACGATGCTATCGATATTATTTCTGTTATGTTGTGTAACTGTTTAATGGTGTTATCTTTATTGCTACCCCCTTCCCCGTCAATGTATAGTGTTGGTCCACAGCGCAAACATATTAGTTTAACAAAATCCGCATCTAAAGATAGCCTACGTTATTTCCCCCTGTGCAATTCCAGTCTTACATCTCACAGCACATCGTCATTAACAAATAACGGAAACAGACCGAAAACATTTTTTTTAAATACAATAATACTTTATTCCGAGTGTGCTTGCTTTTCTCTTTGGAAGTCATCACATAACGGCATGGTAATACACGGTTCGGCTGCATTAAATATTACATATCTGCCGTAGTTCTGTATTTATATAGCCCTGATGAGAAGACTTCTAGACAAACATGAGGAACTGAAAACGTGACGTGGATCATAAATATATCAGCCATTAAACAACATCTTACATTTCTTTTCACACAATACGTCTCCTTGCAGTATCAACACTAATTCGGCTGACTTTGATATTTGATCCAATTGGTAGATAGGCTGTATTTACACCATAAAGGTGCACAGCTGATATAAAGGGACACCTAGTGGTTAAAGCATGTTATTGAATTTCATTATTTTTATTATTAGATATTAATAGGATCCCTAT